GTCTCAGTGGGAAAAGGGTAAGTGGTAAGTGGCAAAATATGCCTTCTAGTGTGACAATCTCTCGGTTTCTTAGGTACTTGAGGTACAAGTATAAAAGGGGGGCATTTTGATGATGCACATGTTGTCATTTTGATGTAATTGTTGCTGGAAACAGACACCTATAATTATAGTAACAAGATTTGACAAAACCAGCCAATACATTTTTCATAAAAAGGAATTTGAATTACAATGTTAGTATCCAGAGATCATTTATATGCCTTATTCTAAGTAGCAGGCTTTTTCAGCAATCAGGTGAACAAGCCGGCCATTTAGAACAGGGAAACACTGCTGTATTGTATACTGTAAACCTAGCTGCTATGGTTGTAGTTTATTCAATAAGCAAATCATGTAGTGTATTTATTGTGGTTTGTGTACTGTAGCATATTTTAATCTTGACTATGTCAGAATGTGATTTGATTTTGACTGATACAAAATTCAAAGGGAAAAATAAATTATATATTATGGACACAAAATCATTGACTCAAAAACTTGAGATTATTTTGCAATATATTACATATTTGTAATATCATTGTGTGATTAATGTTTTAACCCTATTTTTTTAGATTTGGAATTAAAGTCATATCATAACAACAGCATAGACAGCCAATTGACTCTATAAGCTAAGAGGCTTATAACTAGACCTAGATTTGAGTTAAAAGTTACATAGCTGAATTTCCTGTTTTTTTCTTTCACAGTGTATACAACAGGGTCATCCATGCACGCTTTACAATCCAATAGAAGAATGAAACACTAGTCTGTGGCAAAATCAAAGGCCTAAACTGTGATCTAGTAAAAGTTTAAGAAGGCTGTTATTTTCAAGATACGATATGATACGATACGATACAATACAATACAATACAATACAATAGCAGAGTTGGAAGGGACCTCGGAGGTCTTCTAGTCTAACCCCCAGCCTAGGCAGGAAACCCTATACCGTTTCAGACAAATGGCTATCCAACATCTTCTTAAAGACTTCCAGTGTTGGGGCATTCACAACTTCTGGAGGCAAGCTGTTCCACTGATTAATTGTTCTGACGGTCAGGAAATTTCTCTAAGTTGTTCTCTAAGTTCTACGTTGCTTCTCTCCTTGATTAGTTTCCACCCATTGCTTCTTGTTCTACCCTCAGGTGCCTTGGAAAATAGTTTGCCTCCTTCTT